GAGAGAGAGAGAGAGAGAGAGAGAGAGAGAGAGAGAGAGAGAGAGAGAGAGAGGTGTCTCCTCGCTCTTCTACTGTGCAATTCTCTAATGACTAAGATTCAGAACACCTTTTCATCCTCTCATTTCCCACCAGCAAAGCTTTGCTGAGGGGTCTGTTTAATCTTTTGCCCACTTTTTAATTGAGTTAGTTCCTTCACATAGAGTTGCAACAATGCATGTGATGTTTTAGCTCCCTTGATCAGGAACCCATTTCGCCAGTGTGTTCTGCCCCTACTCCTTCAGCATCGCTTGCGGAACACTTTCTTTCCTAGTGTGTGCATTGGTGCATGGCATGTGTGGGGTATGGGGTGTGTGTGTGTATGCACATGTGAGGGTATGTGCATGAAGGCCAGAGGTGGATGTCTTTCTTAGTTGTTCTCCACTTTACTTTGTAGAGTCAGGGTTTCCTAGGGAACCAAGAGCTACCTATTTGGCTAGCTGGCCCAGATCACCCTCTGACTCTGCCTCCTGAACTCTGGGATTACTGGTGGCTGTCATGTCAGCCTGGTTTCTGTGTGGCTGCTGGGCTCCCAAACTCCAGCCCTCATTCTGGGAAAACATTTTATGTACTGACCCCTACCGTCTACCTGTCCTATAGAACACTGTATTAGGGAGGGGATTAAAAAATATTATTGTGTATGTGTGTCTATACACATGCACGTGAAAGCCTCTCTCTCTCTCTCTCTCTCTGTGTGTGTGTGTGTGTGTGTGTGTGTGTGTGTGTGTGTGTACACATGTGAAAGCCTTGTAGAGCTTTTAGATCCCGAATCTAGTTTATGGGGTTGGCAGGATGACTCACTTTCCAGGCAAGCATGCCAACTTGAGTTTGATCCCAGGATCCCACATGGTAGAAGGAAGGAGAGAACCAAACTGATTTCTGTAAGTTGTCTCTGACGTTCACATGTGGGTGAGGACAGACATACACAGACCCACAGACACACATTAAAATAATAGCAACAAAAGCCAAATCAGTAGCAAATGCCTGCAGTTCCAGCACTCCTATAGAGAGTTGGGAGCCAGGGACACTCGCTGGGAATACGCACAGCAGCAGAAACAGACCTGGAAGGTGAGAAACAACTTTCAAAAGTTGTTCTCTGACGTCTACACACACACACACACATACACACACACACACACACACACACACACACACAAAAAACTACCACCTGCAGTGCCACAAAACAAGTCATTTGGATAAAATAGATTTATGTAGATTTAGCGGCTTCAGGAATTTCATGTCTTACTTTTAAGTCTATCACCTACTTTGACTTAGGTCACTACCTTCTTAGGTCCCCATCTGTCTCCTTCTCGACAGAGTCTGAATTCTATATTTTACCTGAATTTGTACTCTTTGTTTGTTTGTTTGTTTGTGTTTTAGTTTGTTTTTTTGAGGAATTTGTACTCTTGGTATTAACTACACTCATCTAAAAATATTGAGCGGTGCTCAGCTATTCTGAGCTCTCACAAACACTGACCTGCTGTTCCCTCAGGCTCCCCCGCCCCTCCCCTGACTCACACAGTGGGAGTGTGTGTCAACAATGCTGCCCCCTAAAAAGACCAAGGGCAGACTGTGCTTTGGTTTCCACTGAACCCAGTGTCTCCCTACAAAGGAATGCTGTGGAAGGGTCGAGACTGGGTGGAGAGTCAGGATTGACGCTTGTGTGCTCATTCTCCCGCTAGCCCAGCAGGACTCGGTTTCTGATTAAGTGTTCTTTTTTATTCCTGTGTTTGCGACTTGAAACAAAAGCAAGATGCTTAATCAGGGGCAGAATGACAAATACTTTTTTCTCTGTCTACAGCAGAATACATGTGTTAAGCTGAAACCCCCTCCCCGTCCTAAAGAAATACATTCAAAACAAAATGTTCAGATGTTATCAGC